GTAACAAGTGCATCGCTTCTAGTAACAAGTGCCTTACTAGTAGTAACAAGGTTCGCTAGTAGTAACGGACTTGCAATGTGACCCAAGCTTACCGGCTTACCCTCATCCAACTGGTGTCCTTCTTGCCTGGATCACGCCAAAGGCTTTCAAGTCTGTCTTCCCATCGTAAAAGGAGGCCTCAAACCCCAGCAAAGAAAGTCTAAACGATTCAGAAATGCATCTCCGAGAAACCTGAATTCATCTGAATTCCAAAGTTGTTGCAAGCATGGGTGGACGCTACTAGGAGCAAGGACGCTATTAGGGGCTCCTGACCTTACTACGGCCATCGCTAATAGGTTGGAGGCATGTGCGCCTCCACAGTTCGTCCCCCAAAGAAGCGGCCATCCATGACCTGGGTACCAAATGATGCGGTGTGGATGACGGTTTGAATGAAGCCGCTTGGCTGAGCATATGCAGCACGATGGCGCATGACTGTGTCTGGAGGCTACCCTGTAAAAACTAGCAAGGAGTAAGGATATCATGGATTTTCTCGCTACACTCTGGACGTCACCTTCAGCTAGTTGTGCAGTTGTGTGCCCAGCTCGAATGCACTCTTCAGCTTCGGAGGAGAGCTTGAACTTGATGCAGACGATACCCTGGATCCGTGGACCATTAGTCCCTGCACTGCTAGTCCCTAGTCTCACGAACGGATCCAATGCGATCTACATCAATCTACCAGGCAAGGAATAAGAAAGGATTAAAAAAATGAGGTGTCAGAAAGAAAGTTAAGCTTCCTGAAAATCTAGGAACCAAAACATTCAGGCAAAGCCCTTTACCTAGCCTGCGTCCTGGGGCCTAAGAAGCTACCTACTTAGTCACTAGTCCTACCCCCAATGTTTGCAAGATAAGAATATCAAATAAAAGAAAGAGAAAAAGGTTTGCCTACCTTATGCTTTACCTGGTGACCGGATTCGCAAGCAAAGCCCACCTGAACATGCCGCTCAATCGGCGTGACACGCACCACCTGCAACTTTGCCCAACTCGGCACAGAGAAAGACAAGGGGAAACTTAACTGTGTCTAAAGGGACTAATAGCACAAGAAACCTACTAGCAATGGACTCCACCCTAGTAGCGATGGCCTCCAACCTAGTAGCGACGGCCTCCAACCTAATAGGCCCCTTCAGGCCCTTCGGGGAGCAAAAATTGGAATTCCTTTTGCTCACAGTCTTGGCATCCAGTTGCAAATCCTTTCGTAATTCGCAACTTTCAAAGCCCTGTAAAGCACTGCACGTTGCCACCAAGCGCTGTGGGTCTGTGTTTGTTTGCACCTGTGAACGACAAATGTTTCTCACAAAAATGTGCTGTGGTTGCACAGGTGCAACCAACATCCACGGCTGATAACAATGTGTGAGAACATATTAAGGACCTTCAGAGAAACTAAACTGCAAGGAGTAGCTCACCCTGCAGGCCATCGATAGTAGGTTGGAGGCCATCGCTTCTAGGTTGGGGGCCATCGCTGCTAGGTTGGAGGCCATCGCTAGTAGGTTTAGCTCACCCTGCCATTATAGAAAACCGATCTTGACAAGTTCTTACGCACCTGACCGATCTTGTCACACTCCTCCTTGACCTGTGCTTTGCAACTGCCATTCTAGGTCGAAATTGGAGAAAAGAAAAAGGCAACGAGTCAAACATCTGTAGCTCTTCTGTGCAGCCTCCTCTGCCAGTTCGTCATAGAACTCAGGACCTGCAAAAAACAAATCATGTGCAATTCATTGCGGATGTCCAATTGATTGCAGCCGTGTGAGTCCAATGTTCCACCCAGCTTGCCCTTTGCCGTCTTGCAACATCGTCCGTCCCTTCCAACCTTCTTTCTCGGCCTCCTCTGCCGAGAACATGTGCCTCAGTGGTGATGCAGGCTCAGAAAGAACACGCTCGTGAGCTTACCCAAAAAATCACAATGTTTCGCTAAATCTCCGATTGTCACAGCGCGTTCTTGGTGCTTTTGGATGTGTTCTCAGGGTAGTCAAGGCCACAGGCTCACAGCTGTGCACGTAAATCCGTGTTTGTGGCGTCAAGATGCAGCTACTAGGAGCAAGGACGCTACTAGGGGCTCCTGGCATCGCTACTAGGAGCAAGAAGCTACGAGGGGCTCCTGGCCGTACTACTAGGAGCAAGGACGCTACTAGGGGATGCGCCTCAGCAGCACAATGCGCCGGCCAGTGCCATCATCCATCTCTCCACTCCACGATACTGCCTCCCAAGTCATTTGAGGCTTCATGTTTCTACTAGCTTCTTGTTACTACTAGCAAGGCACCTGTTACTACTAGTAAGGCACTTGTTTCTACTAGCTTCTTGTTACTACTAATGCGAATACATGCTCGTTATTCCTATTGAAAGTCATCAGACATTGGATGACTATCCCCCTTAAGACACTATAAGCAACTGTTCAGGCGGTGGCTCACATAGTTGCATCTGGATTGACGCTCAATGACGGCTTTCAAAACATCAATAAAAACCAGGGTCGCTCAGCTAAGCGAAAAATTAGCTAGGGAGTCAAGCAATCTCAAGAAAAGCATCTTTGGTCTTGCGGACACCAGCGCTGGCACCCCCTCACCTCTTTCAGGGTATTCTTGGCAGCCAAATACTTAGCACGTTGATCATCGGGCTTTCGAGCCGCTGCCAGCTCCTGCCGAAGTGCACCACCATGCCCTCTCTGGTCGGTCGGTCTCTTACAATGAGCTGGCCTCCAACCTACCTTTCATCCTCTTCTATCTTACTAGGAGCAAGGACGCTACTAGGGGCTCCTGGCCGTACTACTAGGAGCAAGAAGCTACTAGGAACAAAGGGCTACTCTAGCATTCTACCTAATAGCGATGGCCTCCCACCTACTGACCAGGGCCTGTCTCCAGAGATCCAGGCAAACAGTTGCGATCAATGACCCTGGTGAGAGAAGCATTGATTTACCACACAGCTGCTCAGAGTTGTGTTTGTCACATGAAAAATAACTGGAGATCGTCATGTCTGCAACATTTCGTCTACCAAACATCTCCTTGAGCTTGTCTTTCGACAGTTTGGCATCCTTCTTCTCCACTTCTTCGAAATCCGCCTGAAATTTCAACTGTTCTCACTACGTCCAAAGAACTGTATACGAGACTCCACCCATGAATGCGAAGGACACACCTATTATACCCAACTCTCATGAAACAAACACCAAAGGCCTGCTGCACACATATTCGACAGCCAGGACGGATCTCATACTCGTGGAGAAACTTCACCTTGTCTCATTACTTGACGAATGTAGGGAAGTCTGGCAATCTGGAGAGAAATAGTGGTGGCGTCCTTGCTCCTAGTAGCGACCCCTAGTAGCGTCTTGTTCCTAGTAGCGATGCCCTTTGCTCCTAGTAGCTTCTTTTTTCCTGTCAATGGAAAAGCCACAAGGGATCTTGGCTTGTTGCTGTCGTCCATATGATTGCAATCATGCACGTGACGCACTACTAGTACTACTAGTCCTAGTAGTTGCGGTCATCGGCACCTCCCATCAGTTCGAGATTGTGAGCCGCAAACCTGTTTTGAAGGAAGGAAGGAAGGAAGGAAGGAAGGAAGGAAGGAAGGAAGG